GCTGAAATCCACCAAACACAAAGCTTAGCCAAGGTGGCAGAGATTGATTGTGTCCGCTTTCTATGGGACCTGCACAGAGCCTGGCATACAATAGGTGCTAAATGAATAGGAAAATAAATTCATGAAGTTTCTTTTTTTATTATTGATGATCATTGATTTTTTGAGACAGGGTCTCGCTATGTGGTTCAGGCTGCCCTTGAACTCACGGGGATCCTCCTGCCTCAGCCTCCCCAGTGCTGGGATTAGGGGCGTGTGCCACCACGCTGGGTTTAAACGTAATTTTAAATCATCATTGCAACATTTACTGAGCACCTGGTGTACACCAGAGGCACCAGCTAAAGCAGTGCCCCAACTAACCAGCTCTCCGATCCTGATCCTGCGATGCTCATATGTCAGTGGGGAACACAGATGCAAACAGGTAGACAGTCCTGAGTTTTGCTTTTCAGAACGCAAGAGCTATTAGGTTAATGAAGCAGAACGATGGGAAAGAAGAGGACTCTATAGGACTTTAGGGGTCAAGAACACACAGGTTGAGCCCCCAGAATAGGGAGAGGCGGCCGTGCCATGCTGGGAAGAATCGCTTCAGGAAGGGGGGACCACACATGCAAAGACCCTGGGGTGCGAAAGACCCAGGACCCTGGTACCTCACCCACACACTGGGAATAAGCGCCCATCACACAAATTCCATCGGGTGATTCTGCTCCGACTCCTCCTGGGGCGCCCTAGTTCTCTGGGGATCAAATCCAAGTTCCTCTGCACTGGGCCCAGCAGGATTCTGCGGACCCCGCCCCTCCGCTCAACAAGCCCCGTCACCACGCCTCACCATTGGACAGCTCAGAGCGCTTAGGGCGCTGGTTGGCTGATGTGGGCGTCCATCAGGATCCAGGCCTTTATAACCCGTCTGGGCGCTTCGAGGGGGCGGGCGCGGGCGCGGGCGCGGCCGGGGCTGCGGCTTCAGGTAAAGAGCTGGCTTTCGGGAAACACGCACGGGGGTTCTGGGGGGACTCAGGGGACGCGGGGACGCGGGGACGGGCGGGCTCGGTGCATCCAACCCTTCCGCGGGCCGCCGCGAGGTGGGCACATTGGGCTGGGAGCCCAAGGGAAGCCCCAGGTAGGTGGGAGCCTGGAGGGGAGGGGGTCCTGGGTCCCGGAGATCGCCCCTCTTTTCACCCTGCAGGCGCCAGCGGGGGCTTCCCCTTCTCCTAGCACCCCAGCCGGCCACGGGGACCCGTGCCCAGGGTGTCTCTGGGCGCGTTGGGGACCCGGGTCCTTCCTTCCCGCGCTGGGCTGGGTGCGGGATGGGGGCGGGGTTGAGGAAACGGAGTCGGGGGAGGGGCGGCCGCCAGGACCAGGGGACAATGGGCAGCGGGTGGGACCGCCCGGCGGCGCTTCCTGGAGGAAACTGCCCTGTCTCTGCGAAACTGACCCGGGGTGTGCGTGGGGTGCGGATTTGAGCCCCTTTTCAGCCAGGCACCTCCTCCACCCCCACCCCAGGGCTCTGAGGGCCTCAGGCTGGGAAGGCGCCCCCGGTACCCCTGGACCGCATCCCTTACCCTTCTGGTTTCCCCAGCTCAGTTCCACAGCCCGAAATAGTCCCAGGGGCGGGAGTGGGGCGTGTGGTGTCGCTTCTGAAGACCTAATGAGGGGGTCCTAGGCAGAGGATCGGAGCTGGCGGTGACAGCCGGGGAAGGGCGCGGAGGAGAGAGGAGGACAGCTACACACCCCTAACCAGGGACCCAGGCGGGGCCTGCCAGGTGCCTGAGGCTGGCAGGGCACAGACGGAGCCGCCCAGCCCTCCTGGGAGGAGAAGGGCCTCCTTGTAGTGGGCGGTCCGGTGTGGGGCCAGTGCAGACAGCGGACTAAGCTGCAGAGGTTCACACTCTGACTCAGCCCATCTGTGACCTTGGGCAGGTGGATTCATCCTCCCTCTGTCTCAGTTTCTCCATCTGGACAATGGAGGACGGGACAATAATCATAGGAGGGCCAAGGTTCGAGGGTTTAGCTAGGATCAGAAATCCTAGCTCGCAGGAGGGTCACGTGAGTCCGTAGCCAGCCTGAGTTACATAGTGAGTGCAAGGACAGCCTGAACTACATAGTGACACGCTGCCTCAGAAAACAAAAACGGTTAATATCCATAAATTATGGGAGCTGGCTCATTACTACACGGCCAAAGTATTGTTGTTCTTCATCAGCCCAGCCCCTTGGTCCAGCTGCTCCGGCTGGTGTAGGTCTTAGGCATGACTGAAGCTGTGTCATCCATTCCAGAGCCTCAGCTTTGGGCATGACCAGGTCACTAGAGGAGGGGGCTGCCCCCACTCAGTCATGCACCAGCTGTGTGGGAGGCAGGTCCAGTTCCCTTAGACCTGGGTCAGGCTTTTTCCAAAACCCAGCGCTTCCTCGGCAGCTTCCTGAAAACAAGCTGTCCTGCGGGATGACCTGCCGCCTTGCTGGTCTGTCACTTGCAGCTGGTGTGAGGGAACAGGAAACAGCTGCTTGGGGACTGGAAGGGGCCCTGCCTGGCCTTGGAGCAAGGAAGGAGGCATCAGGGACTCAGGGTAGGCAGAGGTGGGGAGTGGAATGGGGTCCCCTAGCTATGGAGCAGGATGAATGAGGCAGGCTGATGGGTGCTGAGAGGGTGTGGTGTCGGGCGCACAGGCAGGTGGTCACCAGGAATTCCAGTGGCCGGGAGGTGTGGCCAGGAGGGTTGCCAGGTGTGGCAGTGGGCCAGGGAGCTGAGGGCCGGTGCCAGTGGAGGGCTGGACAGGCAAGAGGGCAAGAGAAGTTGTAGCCGGGCTCCGCTGGCCAGCGGGTCCCCAGAAGCTGGGCAGAGCCCAGTCTGAGGGGTTTCCCACTGGTGATGCTCTGAATCCCTCCATCCCTCAGTTTCTCTACCTGTAAAATGTGAATGATAATATGGACCTTGCAGAATTGTATGGAGATTACATTTCCAGGCAGGGCGTAAGGGCCACAAGCTGCTCTCTGTTCCCTGATGGTTTTCCCTGTGGGCTCTCCAAAGCGCTGTCTATCATCCAGTGGATTTTGTTTTATTTTGTTTTGTGTGTTTGAAACAGGGACTCTATACTTCAGGCTGGACTCGGGGCAATGCTTCTGCCTCAGCCTCCTGAGTGCAGAGATTACAGATGTGTGCCAACTCACCTGGCTTTTAGTTTAGTTTTGTTTTATTTGCCCATGATGGGGATGGCATGCTAGGCGAGCACTCTACCACAATCCACCCCCAATCCTATGCTTTGTGAACCCAATTTCTGGGCTCAATACATTTGTACCTTTGTCCTCAACCACTTTGAAACTTTGAATTTGTCACTCAATGCCTTCTGACAGGAGCATTTTGTCCTGGTACTCATTATTTGTTTGGTACTCAATGTGGAAACTAGAACTTGTGTCAGTTACCTTGGGCCTCGGTGCCCTTCTCAGAATATCTGGTTTGGTGCTTGTCCTGCCTCCCCAAAGCAGTGAACAAGTAAATGAGGCACCTGCATCTGTCTTTGTTAAATATCACAGTAGGCTGGGATGTGACTCACTGCTAAAGCACTTGTCTAGCTTTAGTTCCATCCCCAGCACTGCAAAACTTACATTATGAGAGGCGGCCCAACCCTATAACTTTCTTAGAACCTCCTTTTGTCTCCCAAAGAGTCACCCTCCCCCCCACTCTGGACAGAGAGTCACAGTTTCGCTCACCTAGATGTGGTTCCCTTGCCAACTCTTGTTTGTTTGGTGTTTTTTTTTGGTACTGGGGATCAAACTCAGGACCTTGCACTTGTCAGGCAGGCGCAACACCACTGAGCTAAACCCCCTCCTCATTGCAGACTCTTACATGCCACAAAGTCCCGTGGTGCTGTGCTAGGGACACTCCACAGAGGCAGGTATTTGTTGGTCACATCTTTGTGTAGCCAGCCCATGACTATCATCAGGAAGTTCTCACTTTGGGATCTTGGTTAAAAATTCAGATGCACAGGGCTGGGGATTTAGCTCAGTGGCGTCACTGCCTGCTGCGCAAGCGCAAGGACCGAGTTCCATCCCTGGTACCAAAAAAAAAAAAAA